CCATAGTTCGCCGAACTTGAAAGAGTTTTTGATAAAAAGGAATATGTCGCAAACGACTTACGATCTCAGAAATGCTCAGAATGATCTGGCCGTTCCTAAGCCAAGACGCGACTTTCTGAAAAAGAGTTTTCGATATAGTGGTGCTAAGTTATGGAATGATCTTCCTGGTGAAGCTAAGGAGGCCCTATCAATATGTTCTTTTAAAAATATTGTAAGACAAAGTAACTAACCTAATATTAACCTAAATGGATTATTACAGACATATTTATATGGCCAAATCACACCAAACCACCAACTTCCTTTTAAACAATTCTAATTAAGTACTATATATATTGCATGTATTTGTACTTATATTTGTCCTTTTTTGTAAATAGTTTTTGTAAATTTTCACATGTCGACGCCCCTTGTGGAAATCAACTCTTTTTGTTGACAGGGCTAGCGTCTTTAAATAAATTTTTACATACATACATACATATCACGAAGGAGAAATTGAATAACTAAAGGAAAAATTTGGCCCCAAAACAACAAATTTTAAATCGAAAACGCTAAGAAGCACTTCTTACAGAGGTAAGGACAAACTTTGATGAAATTTGTACACATTTTGTCCTTACATTATTTTGTATAAAGATGTGCTTCTTAACATTTCTTAAATTTGTCAAATTTGTCAATTCTCAATCTTAAATTTGTCATTTTGGAGTTAAATGTGTACAAATTTCAATCAAATTTTCTCCATACCTTTGTAAGAAGCGCTTCCTAGCGTTTTCGATTTAAAATTTGTTGTGTTGGGGCTAAATTTCTCCTTTAGTAGTTCAATTTCTCCTTCGTGATATATTCTGAAATGAATGCGTAATGAGCTAACTTGGAGGCCCATAGATCGAGGTTTTATTAAAATATCTATTGTTTTACACAAAAATGTAAACAAAACACGCGCACGGGTAGAACGGACTTGACAGCCTCTTTAAAGCACTAGAGGTAATATTATTTGTCACTTTCTCATTATTTTTATGTTATAAAATATTATGGTCATTGTGTTTTCATATGTTTTGAGACACTAAGTGAAGTGGCTACGCTGTAGGCCCCCGCTTTTCCAATGTTAACATGTAGCATGCCAAATATCATGGCATTAAACATACCTTCATCGGTAAGCATACATTAAAAGTAGCTTTGCGTTAAGGCACCGGAGTGAACGCCTGAACCGGCATCTTGTTTAATGTATTAGAGACCTTACGATTTTACGACGGTAACGCGACTGTGACGGCCAAAACAAACTTCTTCAAATAAATGATAGTAAAAATGATTTGTCGTATAGTTAGTTATCAATCATATGAATTTCACAGTCGTAGGAGTTGAAGACATGGGTTTTATGGTTAATGGAAAGAGTACTGCTGAACTCAGTTTGATGTTGCACTTAATGTTGCGGCTCGAAATGCTGCCGTTGTATCAAGACGTGAAAATCTGTGATTTGCCGTTGTCAACAGAGCGAATAGTCTAGGACCTGTATAGGAGGTTGTATGCATTTCATTTACCGCAGGTAATGTCAACAGTTTTAGGGAAAAATGACCATGGCGGTTAACATGACATATGCACCAAAAGCTGAATCCGGGATGAAGGTCCTGAAAATGACCCCGCCCTGAGCGGCAGTGCCTGTCGGCTAAAATATAAAATTCAAAACATAACATGTAAAATGTGTAACATATACCGGTATCTAAACGAAATAGGGCAAGCCATGCTGCTATCACTGCATATGTGGTATGATTTTACCGTATGGTTATTATAGTACAGAGCATAAAACCTTGCTGTCCTTGCCTTGTTTATATTTACCTGCTGGCTGGCAAATTACATTTATATAAAATAATACATTCCCTATTGTGTTTACAACATAATAATACGAAGCTCTCTTTGTAGCTTTAAAATACATTTGCCGGCCAACGTGTATAACACGGGAAGGGGTCTATTTGCTTTTTTCCTAAATTGATTATTACTGTAGTACAGTCATACAGGTGCAAAGCATAATATAATTTTGAACGGTCTTCGTCTACTATTAATTTCCAGACAATGTCGAAGGGTCTTCGCTCGAAATGCCGACGCTTTGCTTGTATTTCCAGGCAATTGAATTGCTACCCATCTATTGTAAAAAGTTTATTGAACGCATGTAGCGCAGGCTATAGTAACTATGCAACAATTAACATTTCATGTCATCATTTATGTAAAACTATTTCAAGTGGGCGGTGTTAATATGGAATATTAACTAAGTAGGCATAATCAATTTTACTAGGGCTTTCGGGCAGGCTCTTCTTACAAAAGAGCCGGCCACGCTGGCTAAATATATTGCATTCATTGTATTTTTATGATTTATGGTAGAACTACTCAAATATTTGAGTTGTCCTTGTGGTCTTAGACTAGAAGGACAAGTATAAATTCTTCATTTATTGTAATTAATAATATTCAATTCTTTTCAATTACTTATTGTATTGATAGCCGTTGCCGTCGCGTCACCGTCCTAAACGTAAGGTCTCTAATAGGGACCTTAAACACGTACAACGGCAACGCGACGACGACAGTCAAAACAAACTTCTTCAGATAAATTATTGCGAAGAAGAGTTGTTGTGTATTATCCACTGCATACATATATGAATTGAGTTCAGTTTAAAGAGATTAATAATAAAGGCTCAATTTTTAAAAACGCTTCTGTTGAGCAAATTCGTAGTTTTACTTGTCGCGTCTTAACATGTTTGCATTGCAAAAAAGACGTGAAAATCTCTGGTTTGCCGTTGTAAAAAGCCAAAACACAACGTCTCTAACTCCTGTTGGGCTTTTAATTATTCATTTCTTTTGTACAAGATCAGGAATATCATTGTGCGAATAGCCGTCGTCGTTGCGTTGCCGTCCTGTTTGGTCCCTATTACACCTCACTAAGGGACAACGCAACGATTAACTGACGATTGGCGCTGGCTATAAAATTTTGTGTTTTATTCTAGCTGTTAACCATGAAACAACCATTTTCTGAAACGTTCATATTGTAATTATGGTTACTATTTGCGTATTTGGCCTGTTAACCGGGGCTAACAATGATCGTGATAAGATTTTTAAAGTCTTCATTAGATTTAGTTCACAGAAATTAACCGTAGTTAAACACCATTTTTCCACAATTCGCGCAGTTGTAATAACTTGTAAAAATGATCTAATTTGATACCAAATCAATGCCACTTTTAAGAAATTTAGCCGGGGAAGTGCGGGAGGAGCGGGAGGCCAAAGTAAAAAAAAGAAGTTTTACCAAAGGCGCAAGACGAAAAAAAAAACACTTTGAATTTGACGTGGCTATTATCAACAAACCGTCTAAAACCGGAAAATAATCGTAATCTGGCGCCAAAATTTCCTATTTAAATTAATCAACGAGTAGCCCCTGAGAGAGAATGCTCCAAATCTTTTGCGAGTCAAAGAGTGAAGAAAAAAACATGGCAGATGTTAAATTAACCCGTGATCATCAACTGAAATATTGACATAAAAAAGCACTTGAAAATCTTCCTTCGCATGTTTCTATAGGGAAAAAAGTGAGTAAATTTTAAAGAGGCAGAACTAATGTGCCAGGGAGGGCAATTATACAATTAACCCATTAGACATATATTAACTAATATACAAACGGATGTCGCTAGCCGATCTATTCAGCTAATCAGTTGTTCTACGTCTTTGTTTCAGATCTACAAAGAAAAAAGGATTAAAGAGGTAATGCAATGGCTTCCAAAAATAGCATAACCCATTACCTGAAGTGCTTAACAAATAGTAATTTAAATCGCGATCCATCGGGAATAGCAAAATACAATGATCTTTTGGGTGACGCCTTTTGTAGACTAGGAGAATCTAAAATGGCTATTGACCATTATAAAAAATGTTTAGAAATTTCCGCTGAAACTGGTAATTGGTTGGGGATGATAAGAAGCAATACAAATTTGGGCAATGCCTATCAATGTTTAGGAGAATATCAAAAGGCCATTGACTATTACGAAAAAGGTCTAGATATAAGCACTACTATTGGCGATCGCTCTGGAATAGCAAGCAGCAATGGAAATTTGGGCAAAGTCTATTTTAGTTTAGGGGAATATCAAAAAGCCATTCACCATTACGAAAAAGGTCTAGAAATAAGCACTGCTATAGACGATCGATCAGGAATAGCAAGTAACAATTGTAATTTGGGCAATGTCTATCTTAGTTTAGGGGAATATCAAAAGGCCATGGAACATTGCGAAAAAGGTCTAGATATAAGCGCTACTATCGGCGATCGATCAGGGATAGCAAGCAGCAATTGCAATTTGGGCAATGTCTATCTTCGTCTAGGAGAATATCAAAAGGCCATTGATCATTACGAAAAAAGTCTAGAAATAAGCACTGCTATAGGCGATCGCTCTGGAATAGCAAGCAACAATGGCAATTTGGGCAATGCCTATCGATGTTTAGGAGAATATCAAAAGGCCATGGACCATTACGAAAAAGGTCTAGAAATAAGCACTGCTATAGACGATCGATCAGGAATAGCAAGCAACAATGGCAATTTGGGCAATGTCTATCAATATTTAGGAGAATATCAAAAGGCCATTGACCATTATGAAAAAGGTCTAGCTATAAGTGCTACTATTGGCGATCGATCAGGAATAGCGAGTAACAATGGCAATTTGGGAAATGTCTATCTTAGTTTGGGGGAATATCAAAAGGCCATGGACCATCACGAAATATGTCTAGAAATAAGCACTGCCATAGGCAATCGCTCTGGAATAGCAGGCAGCAATGCCAATTTGGGCAATGTCTATTTTAGTTTAGGGGAATATCAAAAGGCCATTGACCATTACGAAAAAGGTCTAGAAATAAGCACTACTATAGGCGATCGCTCTGGAATAGCAACCAACATTGGCAATTTGGGCAATGTCTATCGACGATCAGGAGACTATAAAAAGGCCATTGACCATTACGAAAAAAGTCTAGAAATAAGCAATGCTATAGGCGATCGCTCTGGAATAGCACTCGACAATGGAAATTTGGGCAATGCCTATCAATATTTAGGAGAATATCCAAAGGCCATTCACCATTGCGAAAAAGGTCTGGAAATAAGCACTGCTATAGGCGATCGCTCTGGAATAGCAACCAACATTGGCAATTTGGGCAATGTCTATCGACGATCAGGAGAATATCAAAAGGCCATTGACCATTACGAAAAAAGTCTAGAAATAAGCAGTGCTATAGGCGATCGCTCTGGAATAGCAGGCAGCAATGGAAATTTGGGCAATGTCTATTTTAGTTTAGGGGAATATCAAAAGGCCATTCACCATTGTGAAAAAGGTCTGGAAATAAGCACTGCTATAGGTGATCGGTCTGGAATAGCAAGCAACAATGGCAATTTGGGCAATGTCTATCTTACTTTAGGGGAATATCAAAAGGCCATTGACCATTACGAAAAAGGTCTAGAAATAAGCACTGGTATAGACGATCGCTCTGGAATAGCAAGCAACATTGGTAATTTAGGCAATGTTTATCGACGTTCAGGAGAATATCAAAAGGCCATTGACCATTTCGAAAAAAGTCTGGAAATAAGCAGTGCTATAGGCGATAGCTCTGGAATAGCACTCAACAATGGCAATTTGGGCAATGCCTATCAATATTTAGGAGAATATCAAAAGGCCATTCACCATTGCAAAAAAGGTCTGGAAATAAGCATAGCTATAGGCGATCGGTCTGGAATAGCAAGCAACAATGGCAATTTGGGCGATGTCCATCTTAATTTTGGAGAATATCAAAAGGCAATTGCCTATTACAAAACCGGTTTACAAATAAGCACTGCTACAGGCGATCGCTCTGGTATAGCAAGCAGCAATGGCAATTTGGGCAATGCCTATCGATCTTTGGGAGAATATAAAAAGGCCATTGAGCATTACAACAAAGGTCTAGAAATAAGCAGTGCCATTGGCGATCGGTCTAGAATAGCAAGCATCAATGGCAATTTGGGTAAAGCCTATCAATCTTTAGGAGAATATCAAAAAGCCATTGACCATTACGAAAAATGTCTAGATATAAGCGCTGCTATTGGCGATCTATCAGGAATAGCAAGTAACAATGGCAATTTGGGCAATGTCTATCTTAGTTTAGGAGAATATCAAAAGGCCATGGACCATTACGAAAAAGGTCTAGAAATAAGCACTGCTATAGACGATCGATCAGGAATAGCAAGCAACAATAGCAATTTGGGCAATGTCCATCTTAGTTTAGGAGAATATCAAAAGGCCTTTGACCATTACAAAAAAGGTCTAGAAATAAGCACTGCTATAGGCTATCGCTCTGGAATAGCAAGCAACAATAGCAATTTGGCCAATGTCTACCTTCGTTTGGGAGAATATCAAAAGGCCATTGACCATTACGAAAAAAGTCTAGAAATAAGCACTGCTATTGGCGATCGGTCTGGAATAGCAAGCGACAATGGCAATTTGGGCATTGTCTATCATAGTTTAGGAGAATATGAAAAGTGCATTGCCTATCACAAAAGCGCGTTACAAATAAACACTGTTATAGGCGATCGGTCTAGAATAGCAAAAAACAATTGCAATTTGGGCAATGCCTATCAATGTAAAGGAGAATATCAAAAGGCCATTGACAATTACAAAAAAAGTCTAGAAATAAACACTGCTATAGGCGATCGCTCTGGAATAGCAAGCAACAATAGCAGTTTGGGCATTGTCTATCTATCTTTAGGAGAATATGAAAAGGCCATTGATCATCACGAAAAAGGTCTAGATATAAGCACTGCTATTGGCGATCGGTATAAAATAGCTTGCAGCAATGGCAATTTGGGCAATGCCTATCTTACAATAGGAGAATATCAAAAGGCCATTGATCATTGCGAAAAAGGTCTAGATATAAGTACTGCTATTGGCGATCGATCAGGAATAGCAAGTAACAATGGCAATTTGGGTAATGCCTATCTATCTTTAGGAGAATGTCAAAAGGCCATTGATTATTACGAAAAAGGTCTAGAAATGAGCACTGCTATAGGCGATCGATCAGGAATAGCAAATAACAACAGCAATTTAGGCAGTGCCTATAATCGTTTGGAACAGTATAGAAAGGCCATTGATTATTACAAGTTAGGTTTGGAAGTGAGTGCTGAAATTGGCGCTCTGCCAGAAGCTGCCGCAGACCGCAGTAATTTAGGAAATTCCTATCGATGTCTAATGGAGTATGAAGTTGCAATATCATACCTAATAGAGTCAATTAGGTCTTTTGATAGAATTTTCTTAGATTCAGTTCCTGATCCAAATAAACTGGCATTCGTTGATCAATATTTCAAGACTCACATAATATTAATGAGTTGTTTCCTTTCGTTGGAGCGCCCTGAGTCCGCATTATTAGTCATTGACCTCAGTAGGTCTAAAGAGCTCCATTGCTGCATTGAAAAACGTAGGAATTCTGTTGGTAAGGACTTGTTGGATTATGCCCGTGCGATATGGGATAGAATTGAGGCCAAAGAAGAACAAATAGAAATAGAAGCATTGCAAGCACTTCTCCAACAACGTAAAAATGACACCACCATTTTAGTATTCGCTTTTGATTTCGAAGGAGTTCTTAATGCTTGGGTTTTAACTGACAAAGTCATCTATAGAAAGTTATTACACGCACGTCGCGAAACAGTTCTGCTGCTAATTAAAGAACTTCTTACAAGGATAGATGCTCAAAATTCTACGTTTTGCAAGGTCGATTCAGATGCTAATACAAATAGTCAAGCGATGTTCCCCGTCGAGTTGCGAAGCAGGAAGCCTGCCTCTAAAGTTGAAATTTTGGCAAGCTATAGTAATTTGAGGGATCACCAAATTTTAGAAGGGTTATTTAAACTTTTATTTGATCCTGTAAAAGATCTTGTTAAAGGCAATAAGCTTATTGTTGTCCCTGATCCGCAGTTATTTTCTGTACCGTTTTCAGCTTTGATTGACGAAAATGGCTCATATTTATCAATCAAATACAGCGTGCAAATTTCGCCTTCGTTGCATACCCTTAAGTGCAGGATGGAAAAATTCTATGACCCAAACTTTGGTTTTGCATTGTTTGTTGGTAATCCAGCTGTTGGAAAAGTTAGTTTAAACGGAGAAGATTTAGCGCCGATTGACCTGCCCAATGCTGCTGAAGAAGTCAAATGTCTGTCAAAGCTTTTCGAAGCAAATTATTTTCTAGGACGCGCCGCAACAAAACAGAGAGTATTGCAGCACTTAAGTGGGGCTAGTGTGATCCATATAGCTGCACATGGAGAACCGAATCGAGGTGAAATAATGCTTGCTCCAAATTCCTCTCCTACTGAACCGTGCTCATCTGTCCCTAGACCCGAATCATACCTTCTAACTCAACGAGATATTATAAATACTTCTGTGCAAGCTCGCTTGATAGTTTTAAGTTGTTGTTATACCGGGAAAGGTAAAATTACTTCAGAAGGTGTCATAGGTATAACTCGAGCGTTTCTAGCAGCTGGAGCACGTTGTGTTCTTGCCACACTGTGGCCTCTTCTCAATGATGGTGTCACAAAGGAATTCATGGAGAAATTTTATGCCGATGTGTGCCAAGAAACGCCAGTTTGCAAAGCTTTACAAAGAACAAAAAACTTCTTTCAGACACACGAAAAAAATGGATACCGACACAGTTGGATCTGGGCTCCATTTACAATCATTGGGGAGGACGTGAAGTTTAGAAAAGATGAGATTGAAGAAATTAGAAAAAAATCTCAGGAGTTTTTTTGTTGTTTCGAACTGATTTGACTGGCAATGTAATTAACAATGACGTCGTTATTAAACTTTGTCTAATTCGTAATCAAAGTATAACTTAAAGTTGTATTACCATGCGGCAGTATGGAATATTGTGGGATGAGCATTCTGTTATTATATAGGTTGCTATTGCGCTTTGACTGGTCTGAATGGTTAAAAGTTAAAGTTGGGTATAGCAATTTTGATAGTTATGTTGGAGAAAATATAATTGATTGGTTTGATTAGAGTTGTTTACAGGGTTTTTGTGGAAAAAGTTCTTATTACAAGCATTCCAAACTCTGCAGTATTTACTTTGCTGTTGCTGAAATGTATTAGCTTTGATGTTGTGCTTGATAATGGGCAAAATAATATTCAGTAATAAAAAGAATCTAAAATTACTAACTTTGTTGGTTGACAGGAAAGCAATTGAGTATTTGTTTCCGTTAGTGGAGGAGGGGTTTCATGATATTAATGTTGCCAAGTTTTGTAGTTGATACGCGTGCTTTCGAGAAAATAGCAGGAGAAAATAATTTAGCCTAGAATGACGTGTTGTGCACAATTGTGTATGCGTTGCCAAGCGCAGAATAGTAAGTTCAGCTAGTCGCTAGTGTTCACATTAGAACTGTATAAGAGTTTTTTTTAATATATTTTAGCTTTGAGTTTGTTGTTTGGAGTTGCTTGTCCGTTGTTCGGAGTAAATCAAGATACTATGATAGCAATGTTTTAAAGTTTCCTTAGCAGGTACAGAAAAGTTAAAGGGGGAATCAAGAAAAGGTAAGTTCAAATTTCACATGTGATTGTATGTTTATATGGAATCTGATATACTTTATTTAAAGTTATAAAGATCGGATTTTTGGCTATATCAAGTGAAACTTTTAATATTGTTGCGATCAAAATTTGAAGAAATGTTGGTCTACATATAACAGACGCCTTGAACTCTTGTTCAAATTTTCAAATTTCATTTCGAAATGAGAATAATTTCTGTGCCCAGGAAATTATAGCTTTGTATTCAATTTCCTTAGCTCGAAAAATGCGATTTCGACTGATAGCTTTATATCGATTTGTATTTGGTTGTTTTCTATATGACATTAATACAAAAATATGTAATCTAATTTTAAAACTACAGGCCTGACGATAAGTCTACTACATAGGGGAAGGCTAAAAGAAAAGATTGTAGAAATAATTTAACGAAATTCGGCCCCTCTCCCACACCCCATAAAACAGCAACCGTTCCGCCGCCTGTGGTCTTTTTCGGCAAATAAAAATTTCTACCTCGGATAAGTTTATAATGAGGCCAGTGATAGACGCTAGGGGGAAAAGGTAATTTCTGCACATCTACAGCAATAATTTACAACAGTGAGAATATGCCTGTATGCTTCACTCTAAACACCTGGGTGTTGCTACAGCACCGAAATGGGTGGTCATTGCAGCTTTTTGATTCAAAGTAAATGCTAACGCCATTTCTACGTTAGGGAAACACCAATATTACATTTTATAAGTACATTGAATCAGCTATAACTCTGATTGTGTGTAAATATACCGCGACTGATAGTGCATTTGGCGTTTTCCTAACACACAAATGGCAAAAAATTCACATTAAATCGGTTTCAACAGAGCTGCAATGCACCATTCTGGCTCAACACCCAGAATTTTTTTGTGTAGAAATAAGTGAATTAAATCTAAGCTAAAAAATTTAGTAAAGTTTGCAGCAACGAAAGTGTGGTAACTATGTTGAAAATTTAGATTGCCCAATATTTGGCAAAGTGTCAATCACCGCTTAAAGGTTATTGGCAAGAGCATAAAAAAATAAGCCAATTGGCCGTTTACTGCTCTATTCTATTCAGGTTCCGAAGTTATATGCAAAAATGTGCAAAATATAAATTGCTGATTCAGCACAACGTGTGACGTCATTGGTTGGGTAAGTATGTTTATTGAATAGTAGACTGAGGCATAGCTCAGTTATTATTGGCTTTTCGTTACAGTAAATAGTTATAAAGTATAAGTAGATGTTTAATTTATATTTTAATGCAGTTCTAATAATAACAGTTTAAGTGTATATTTTAATGTACGGTAGTTCTTTGAAATATACTCTTAAAATATACTCCTTACTAAGTATTTTGCTATCCTGCATTATACTTGTGTGTCATATTATGTATGCAGATTGTTGACGATATAACGGAGTATTTTTTGGCTGCCTATGTTAAAACTTGGCTGGTCGAAGCAACTTTGCAGAATGTCTTATGCACGTTTGTTGCAAATTTGATGGGAATTTTTAATGCAAGATGGATATATTATGTTCCTCTTCTTATTTTTTTTTTCGCAACAAGCTAACGATGTCGTTTTCATTGGAACAAATTCCTAAGAAACGAATAGTGTCAACGAAATTGCTTTGAAATTGGGAGTTAATATATATATATATATATATATATATATATATATATATATATATATATATATATATATATATATATATATATATATATATATATATATATATATATATATATATATATATATATATATAATTTACCGGCGCATTTATTCGCAAATATTAAAGCAACGCTCCCTTACGTTGTTCCTATTCAATGTTTCTTAGATTCACTAGAGTCTTTGTGTCAGTCACATGGTGTAAACTATTTATGTCAAATTGTTTATTACAACGATATACAAGAAAATTCAAGAAAGTTTATGCAAACTTGGCTAAAAAAGTGACCTAAAATATTTATGAAATTGATTGTGGGTATCAGATTTAATCTTATTTTAATCGGAGATTTTCAGATCTTTGCTATATATTCTCAAAGGAAAACACTCTATCTTGACTGAGGCTAATGATAGTAGAAAAACGTTTTCAGCTAAAAAAGGTTTGCTTTTAGGAAAATAATTTCATTATATAAAAATATACAACGTTTTTTCAAAGTCGCTAAGTTTTTATGCAAATTTGTGAAAACTTTAATTGGAAGATGGGAACACGATACATTCGAACTTGTAACAGATACTAAGCATGTTTATGTGTGAGACACACAAATATACTGAATGAGTTCCATATTTGTAAAAAAATTTAAAAAACACTTTATCCAACATTCCGCAACGTGGATGAAGATCGATGGTGGCGAACAGTATGAAGCAAGGAATATCATAAACATAAAACATCAGGAAATATTTTCAACGAATCACTATCTGATAATGCCTTTCAACTTTTAGTCATGAAAGCTTATTTTACGACCTTGTGCATGACAATGCTTAGTATGTCTTCTCCTGTATATGTGGGGAAAAACTCAACAACCATTTTGCGACATAGTGGAACATTGAAGAAAGCAAGCATTATACCTACGATCAACAAAATGCCTTAGTTGTGCTCCTGCCTTAACTTGAACAACACAAGAATACGTAGCTATTTTTCATTTGTGTTTATCTCTCTGAGTGAAGAAATAAAATAAGAAAATGAATTAATGGCTTATATGCAAGTTATAAAGATTAACACCTTCAGCTGACTATTTGCAAAGGAGTATATTTGTGCCATGTCATGATTTTGGTTTACTAAAAACTGCAAAGTCATCTGTTATTGCAAATAAAACGGGACGGGTTAATGTGATGTTACAAAAATCTGTACGCTCCTGTCGAGGATTAATCCACAATTGAAAGACTAAATGTGAATAATTGTTGTATTTGTTGGAGAATATAAAACACGTGCCACAAGTATCAAGGTTTGGTTCTTGATTTAAAAGTTTAACCAGTGAAAAGCAAATATTTAATTTATTTATAACGGTGTAACACTTGCTTTATGGCACTGACTAGGTCATGAAAATGAAACTCTTATTCCCGCCGTCACGAACGTTACAGTATCAGCTGCTTCGAAGGTTTGCAAAAAAATTCTGGTAACAGAACTGTTTAGGAATCCGTAATTAACTCTTGGGTTATGAAAGCGTTTAAAAATATATGGGATAATCGGCTGAGATAAAAACAATCCGCATTCATATGTTTCTATATGCCTATGTACACACTATGGTTCAATTATGTACACACTATGGTTCAATTGTGGTCTTGCTTCTACCAAATGAAATGGAACTTTGTCAGCGGAAAACCGATATCAGAACTCTGAAACCCCCCCAAAGAAAACAATTTATACAGTCCACAAGATAATACAAGGACGTTGTTGGAATGTTGGTAAAGGTAGATATCTATGCATATATTATAGTTAATTGTTCTTCCTAGACAGAGGGAGGCATATATTTTAGAAACATTTGCTAGTAACAATCGTTTGACTTTGTACCATCTTATTAACCTTTTTCCTTAAGTAAAGAATATCACTAGAATAAAGCGTGAGAGATGTTAGAACTTTCATGAGCTGCCCAAGCTTTAAGATATCTTGTAAAGCAAAATGTTGGTAGAATTTTTGTTTAGTAAACGTTACCATCTTCAAAGATGTACACAACGTTCAACCAAAACTTTAGTGTTTCAAAAGTAAACTTTTGTTTGGTTTCAGCCTCCATTCGTCTCGCACCTCTGATATTCTGACACCTCTCAAATAAGATATTATTTTATATATATTCTACTATATCTAAATGTCAGAAGTTAACGTAAATATTATGAAAATGAAATTCAAAATGGAGAAAAAAACTTAGTTCGTATATATAAACGATAGAACGTGTTTACGTCCGTAAAAGGTCGTAATGCAAATTTTAAACTTGCACACATATGTATTTAAAATTGTTAAATATATTTGGTTAAAAGTCAAAGAGTCTGGTTTTGATAATTTTCAGTGAACGTGAATAATGGGCGAAGTATGGAGCAGGTATAGAGAATGCACTGTAAATTTTATGGAGTTGAATTAAATATAAAAGAGTGATTTTGCCACCGTGTTTGGAGTTGATTCAAAACTTTTAGAGTTGATCCAAATCCTGGAAGTTTACAATGTGCTTGCGTCCATATACTCGGCTAATAATGCACGAACATTTTAATTTAGAGAAATATAAATATTCTCTAGGCCACTGATCCACTGTCTACAGTTAATTTATCCATGACATCATTGTGGGGGTGCGGGGGTGGGGGTAGCACTTGCCCTGCTGCACTCCCTGCTGTGTACAGCCCTGTTTTAAATCTTATCTGCCATTATAATAAGTGATGAAATATTTCAATTCTCCCATGTCATCTTCATTATTCAGTTTCTTTCAAGAAAATACAAAATGTGAATCAAGTTTTTTCGCAGATACATGTACGCGTCGCGTACCTATTTTTAAGATTGTGTTGCACTGTTGCGTAATGGTAATCTCATTAAATATTCAGGCGATTAGGAGTCCTTAAATTCATGCATATAGCTACACGCGCTGTTGTCTATACTGGTTGTTTTTTCATAAAATGATTGAACTTTTAACTATTTTAGTACATTAATTTTTGAAAGATAATATAGGTCGCATGACACCACGTAAGTAGTGAAAGGCCCCCTCTGGAGTTCAAAGAGATGCCGCCAATGACGTCACTTTGCTCCAGAAGTAATTAGTATGCAAAATCTATGACGTCACTTTTCTGGGCAAGCCTGAGCAAAATGTGACAGGAAACGCGATCAAACACAATAAGGTAAGGTAACCTGAGTATCAGGCCCTTATGTTTTTATTCGTCAGGATTAACTGGCGGGGCGAATGAGGGATGGCCTGATACAATTCTTTACCTCGGCGCATGTAAAAAGCCAGATTCTGGCTTTTTCGTCTGATTGGCCGATTAGACAAACGATTTTTTAAATCTGTCATTTGATTGGCTGGTGCTAATTAGATTATACTATTGTTGTTGATACATTTTATAACGATCACAACTACAATTATAGCCGGCCCACTAAACGGCTAAATTTA